CCCCTCCCTGCGTGGGTGACAGTGCTCTCTGGGAACGCCTTGACAGTGCCTTTGTTCCCCCAAAATAAAAGAAAATCGAGCTACAAAGGGAAACCTCAGGTAGCTTTGAATGGGGCTCAGCTGCCTGGGGCAGAGTGTGTTTAAGCTGGAGGCAGTTGTCACAGGAGCAGAAGGGGAGCCGCCCGCAGTCCCCCTCCCATCCCCTCGCCCCCTCGCTCCCTGATCGAGTTTACTCAAGGAAAAGGCTCTTCCAAATAGCGGCAAAGGAGAAAATCAATGAAAATTGATAGAGAAATGTAAAACAGCTGTCTGCCGTGTGTGTATGTGTGTGTGTGTGTGTGTGTGTGTGTGTGTGTGTTAGGGACAGCAAAAGCATGCTGCGTGGACCGACCTGCTCAGGGCCCGCCGCTCGGCGGGCGGGGGGGGGGTGCGGGGGGAGCGGCTGGGAGCCACTCCTGGCACATGCCAGTGGAGGGGCGATGGCAGCTGGGGGAGGGGAGGCAGCGAGTCTCTCACTCGAGTTAAGAGAGAGATTAATATATTCAATCCGCTTGGGGTAATTGAGGGAACAATTGGAGTGTTTTTCTAAAGCCCATAAAACTGCCTCATTTGCAAGGAGGAGCTACCCTGCTCATATCTTCTGTATTTGATGGAGCACAGGAAGGGAGAAGGCGGGGCAACGGTCCCAATACAGAGGGACTGGGGCATTAGCCTGGGAGGGGTCTAGCAGTCCTGGTCTAACCTGCTCTCACCTTCCCCACCTCCCTCCACTTTGTTAGCAGCAGTGCAGGCCTTGCCTTCCGGAGCCTCTGTTTCCCACTTGTGAAATGGGCCATCAGCATCCCCACCCCCGCACAAGGAGAGTGGGAGGGAGTGGCAGAAGACAAAGCTTCAGGGATGAGGGAAACCGACATGGACACCGACACCAAAGGTCTGGCACTGAGGTGAAGGGACACGAGCAAAGAGGTGCCCAGCTCCCCCAGCTAGGCCAGCTCCCCGCCCACCAGAGATGAAACGGCCATAAAGTTAATGAAATCCACATTGTGTGCCTTTCCCCGCCTGAACCATTCCAGTCTCCAGGGCAATTGAAATAGTGTACGCAATCGCGAGCAATAAAAGGCATAATGAATTTAAAAGCAGAGCAAAGAGGGGAGGAGAGTGAAGACCCGGAGTGTGCTGGCGGGCAGGCAGGAAGATGCTTGGGGCCGGGAGAGTGCAAGCCTGGAGCTCCAGCCAGGACTGGGACCAGAAAGGACAGAGAGAATCACAGAGGGGGGCTCGGGAGGGAGGGAGGGAACAAAAGGAGAGAGACACAGAGACAGAGGTTTAGGGACAGAGGGCAGAGGGGAGCTAGGCAAGCCGCTGACTGCTCTGTTCCCCTCCACTTCTCCTTAATGAAAGCCCCCAACCTGTTGGTGCCAAAGCCACAATCAGCAGCCACAGGCTTAGAGCCAGGTGCTCAGCATTTGGTGACTGCTTTATTAGCTTTTTCTTGTTGTTTTTCCCCCCTCCAGGGCAAAAAAAAAAAAGGTGTTTTAAATGGAAAGAATAAAAAAAAAAAGACCCTTGAAAGCGTCATTTAAAAGGCTCCTGGGGAACGGAATCGTTTGCATGAAACAAAACTGCAATTGTTTGGAAGAGGTAAAGCCTAGGAGGGAAAGGGGGAGGGAGCGCCCCACAGCCCTCCTTCTCCCCCCTCTGAGCTCTGTGGGAGGAAGCTCCAGGCCTAGAGGGAAGGAGCCCCTAGGAGGGCTCCCAGAGCCAGAAGCAAGGAATTTTTAAGTTTGTGTTTCCAGAAATTTCATCACTGGGAATTTCCAGCCCCAAGTTTCCCTCTTAAACAGCTCTGCCTATGGGAGGTTGTCCTTAAACCTTCAGGATCTCTTGGAGAGGTGAGTGAGGTACCAGGAGGGATGCAGCCCCTGAGGGCCCTGCGGCTCCAGGCCCAAGGCTGTTGTGGTCTCCCCATGTTCCCCAATCCCCCAGGAGTCTGCATTCACCTGTAAAAGAGTGGAGTGGGGTCCCCCAGCCAGCCCAGCAGCCAGGCTTCAGCCTGCACCTTGCTGTCTCCCTCACCCACAGGGACCCACTCTGCCCCCTCTGCACTGGACAGGCCACTCTCATTCTGGTCCAATAAACTCCCTCTTACCCCAGGGAAGGAGGGCCTCGGGGGCGCTGGGATGGTGCAGCCATGTGGTCTCAAACCTGCCAAGACGCGAAGGAGGCAGCCTCAGGGGACAGGATGAGCCTAGTGGAGCTCTGCCCGGAAAGGAAGCCACCAGAGCACCTTGTGCCTCTGGCAGGAAGCCTAGAGCTGGTTCCCTTCCATGCTCCGTAAAGGTCCCGCGGCAGCCCCTGCCTGCCCCTCCCAGTCCGAGAGGGGCCAAGGGAGGGGGCCAGGGGCCAAGGGAGTGATCTCTATCCTGGAGTCTGTGACTGTACATGCTAGAAATATCCTGGGGGATATGCCCTTCACCCCACCCCCCCCAGTCCCCAACACACACACACAGAGGACGCAACTTGAGGACTGGAGAAGGAAGGTATTCACTGTCTATATACTGTTAGCTCGGGGGAATTGATTGTTCCAGCAGAGTCTCCAGGATACTGGAAAGACTGTGACCAGCGCTGGCGTGGCCATTTAGGACTATGTAACCTGTGGGCCATGGCTGAAAAGCAAACTGATTCAGATTCAGTCAGCCACTGAAGCTCACTCTGACTCCTGCCTCCTGCTCCCTACTCATTCTTGATCATTGCATTCCTAATCCCCCTGCCCTCTGACCCCCTGCTCCACCCTTACCCCATCCCTCATCCCATGACCATCATCAGTTGTGGTTTAAAAAAATGATACACAAGTTGGAGAACAACTTGTGAACCTACAATCAAGTTCCAAATTGGATAGATTCAATGGTTGAAACGCCTAATGCAGACAGGACTGAAGATAATTTGGAAGGGACAAGATCACTGCAGGGAAGGCTTCCTGGAGGAGATGGCCTTGGGCCTACTCGTTTGCATGTGGAGCCCAGAAATCCATTCCTGGCCTTGAACTGAATATGGCTGAAGTTGGGCTGCAGCCAAGAACACAATTCCCTCCTCTCCTCTCCATCCTTCCTGCTCCCTGCCTTTTCTTCTCACCACCCCGGCTCTACTCCTCTTTCAAGTTGCTTTCTCCTCCTCTTCAGCTGAGAACCAAAGAGAGCTGGGCTATGCCCTTCCCTCCTGGGCTTCATTTTCCCTATCTGCAAGGAGCAAGGGGGAGGATAGCTTCAAGGGTCCCTGTGGTTCTAGGCCACATCCACTTCCCCAGGGTGCTGGCCACAGGCCCAAAGCAGAGCATGTGGCCCCAGCCCTTACTGAGAGCCTGATCTTGCTGTTCTTCCAGCTGTGTCTTTGAGCCTCCAAGTCTCAGCACCAGAAAGGTGCCCTCCTTCCTCAGGCTGAACCGCTGGATGAGTTCCCCTGACCTGAAAAGACAGCCCCTCTATTCTCTGAAGGCCACCTCTCCATCGTCTATTCCCCCACCAGCTTCCTGGCCCTGTAGTCAGGGTTGTGATTACCGACCCCCCAGGAGGGAAGCGATTTTCCTCTCCCTTGAAAGCCATTTTCTTGTCTTGGTAGAAGCAGACATCTGACACTTTAAGAGGAAGAATGGCAGGGAGATGATGGCATTAAATAACAGAAATTAGAGCTACTGAGGACGGCTCAGCCTTCCCTGCAGCAGCCCCTCCCCTCCCTTACGTGCATTCAGAGCTGCAGCCTGCAAAGAACTGTCCACGTGGCCCCTGGCTCAGGGTGGCCAGGGCATGCTCGGACCTGGAGAGCAGGGGGCCACTTCTCCCTGAGCTCTGAGCCTCTTGAGTATCTAGTCCCGGGACAAACCGTAGGACAGGGGCCAGGGCCCAGCCCCCGAAGTCAGGCAGCTTGCAGTCTGAGGGAACAGAATGTCATGGAGGAACCCAGGTATCATCCATCTCACTCACAAGTCAACCACTGTATCCTCAGCACTGAGCAGAGCTGGGCATGCAGTAGGTGGTGAAAAGTATTTGTTGATTGACTGACTAATGAATGAATGGGCAAGAGAAGCTGGTCCCTGGGTCCCTGGTCCGTCCTTCCAGTTCTCCTGGCGCATGCTACCAGATCACTCTGTCTGAACCACAGCTCAGATCATGTCTTTCTCCTGCACAAACCCCTCTGGTGGTCCCCCATTGCCTCTCGAACTGAATATCCACCTAGCTCTTTCGCCACTGTCCCCTGACTCTCTATACTTTCCCCCACCCATCAGCCCTCTCCCAGCCCGACTCCGCCACCAGCCCGGGCTCCACTTCAGCCCCAGACCAACGTTCTGCTGGAGGCAGGCACTGCAGGAGAGCCAGGCACCTTCTGCTGTAAACCTTTGGTTTCAACCTCAGCTCATTCTGCTACCAGCCTTCCCCTCAGTCAGCTTATTCTTATCCCTCCTCCTGGAATATCCTCCTCAAAGCCCAGAATTGCCATCCCTAAATCTCACCCACCTAGCATGGGGTCTGACAGAGTCAGCACCTAACAAATGTTTGATGGATGGATGAGTGAATGAACAAACGAATGAAAGATTCATCTCAGATGACATCTCTTCTGAAAAGCCTTTGCTAGGCTGCAAGATCGGATCCGCACACTCCCTCACTAGAGCTCTCCTTCTAGCACATGCCTTACAGGACCATATGGTGCCCACGTTGTGCCTGACTGTCTTCACGTCAGGCGGCACCTTGAGCCCAGGGACTGACATAGCTTTGGATTCCATACACTACTGTGCACTAAGGTCCCCAGGAAATGTTGTTGGCATTAAATGGAATCAAGCATCCTTGGGGATGATCTTCAGTTTCTCCACCTGTGAAATGGGCTACTACTTGCTCTACTAGCTTCCGCCTGTACTGGCTGTGAGGCCCACCAGACACACTGCCTGGCTGCAGAACATGGCCACACTGGGGAACCCTCCTACAGCTTGGACAAGGATTAGACTCCTGCACCTGGGCCTGAGGCTGCCAGGGTCCTGGGTCAGCGTTGAGTCCCTCCTGGCTGTGGTGGGAGCTGAAGGGGCTGGAGGGTGGGCACTTCTATCTCACCATCACTTGGGGCCTCCCTCGAAACCTGGTGAGAACGTGTGAGATTGAGTTTGGGGCTGAAGGGTCTCAGGGGACACTCATCCACTGGGCAAAAGAAACCCTACCCAGTGGCGTCCCTGCTCTGTGTGGTCTCTGCTCCATTTTCTTCTCTCCCTTCAAACCGGGACTCCTTGTCTCCATCCTCAGACTGCACTTTCTCAGGAACTGACTGAGGCAACCTAGGGAAGTTCTGCTGCTCTGCTCAGTGAGGGCCTGGGGACAGCCAGTCTTATCAGAGACGCTGGGTCTTCTACTAGCGGGAGCGGTGATGCCAGAACCTGGGCGGGAACCCAGGTCACCCACCTGCAGCCTGGCCAGCTGGGGCTCTGGGCGTGGTGAAACAGGTTCTGGCTGGCCCGGGCCCGGAGAGCAGTTGGAGGAGGGAGGCTGAGGGGCCCGGTGCGCGTGGAAGGCCACGCTGTAGGCCAGGCCCCCGCAGTGGCGGGCCGTGGGGTCCGCGCTGGCCCGGAGCAGAGCCAGCCTGCCGCAGTAGCGGTACAGGTCCTCGTGCTCCCGCGCCGACAGGTTCATGCGGGGCTGGTCTGGGCGCGGATAGATGGGGAAGATGGCCTCGCCCACGCGCTGGGCTGCACTTCCTGAGGCCCCGCACAGCCTCAGTGCCTCCACCCTCAGCTGCGCGTCGTGCTGCTCATCGTTCTTGCAGAACCCTGGTGAGGAAACACGGGGTCAGAGACAGTCTATGGGGTCTCCTTGCCTCCCCTGGGGGATAGGGAGGACAGCCAGGGCCCTCGGGAAACCTGGGCTGCCTGGCCTTTGCTTTGAAGTCAGGCTTGGCTAAGATTTCCCCGATGGGTGACCCCCTCTCAGGCCCCACACATGGCTGGCTCCCTTTACTGAAGGGGGGAGAGGGGGGCTCTTAGCCTGTGAGATGGTTCTGGGGAAGAGTTCAACCTGTCCCTGATCTCTGGTCACCGGAAGGCCTGGGACTTGGTTTCCCCATTCCCTCATATCCCTCCTCTTCCAGGAAGCCTGCCTGGATGGCCTCATAGTCTAGGCGTGGATCTTCTGCTCCTTCCAGATCACTTAACTATTCTGTTTGGGATTCCTGCCTCTCCACCTGATCTGGAAACTTCCTGAAGGCAGGGCCCGGGTCTCCACCTCTCTATCCACCCTCCATACTCACAGTCCAGTTGTTCTCAGGGCTGGGCACTCAGGGTGCTGGCTCTAATGTTACTGAGTGTGACGTCCAGTGGGACTGGCCCCACCTGCTGTGTGCTTAGCTTTTGTAAATTCACAAAGCCATTCATCATCTGTCCCTTCACTTCCTCCTCACCCAACCCTGTGACCAGCATCAGCGTCCCCATGTCACACTGACGGAGGAAGGGGCTCACAGAAGGCCAGCGTTTTCCCAAGATCACACAGGCAGAGCTTTGGGATTCAGTCTAGAGCTCTGATGCTGCCCCTCCCGGTGTCCCTGAGGCTCCCTGGGGTCCCTGACAGGGCTGGGGCAGGAGTTGGAGGGTCCTTCTCTCCCCTCAAACCCTACCCTTGCTTCATACCTTTGGGCAAAGTAAAGATAAACTTGTTCCTGGTGAGGGTGAGGCTCTGGCCAGGGTCCTGCTGCTCAATGACATCGGTGACAGCAGAGCAGGTGGGGAGGGGGTCCCCATCATTTACCTGCAGCTGCACGCCAGCCCCAGAGCTGGCCTGCAGGGGGTTCTCAGCTGACAGCCGCAGGGCGTATCTGCCCTCCTCATTAAACCCCACACTCAAGACCTCGAACTCCAGGTCCAGTGTCTTCTCCTCGGTCTTCAGCCTCTGGCTCAGCAGGGATGCAGGAACCCAGGGTTCAGGCCCCCTGAAGGCCATGGCCATATCAGGGACTGACCCCCCTGGGCTGAGCACTGCCCCTTCCTGCCCACAGTCTCAGCCTGGGCCCAGTCTGAAAGCCCGCACGCTGGGTGCTCATGGCCACACCCCACCCTTCTCTGTTTGTTTGGGGAGAAACCAGGTAACAAGCCAGGAAGCTGATTCTGTCCTGGGTAACAAAGGCAGCCACTGATCTGTTCCTTTTAGCATTTGTTCATTCAACAAATATTTATTGGGCATCTACTATGTGCCAGGCACTATTTTAGGCATTTGGAATACAGCAGTGAATCAAAGATTTCCTGCACTTCTGAAGCTTATCTTCTAGTGGGGGAGGTAGGTGGGAACAGATGAAAATAAGCACTAAATATAGAAAATAAGTAAATTGTAATATATGCTAGAAGATGATAAGTTCTATGGAAAAAATTAGAGCAGGGTCAGGGATGAGGAGAACTGGTGTGAGGAGCACATGGGTATGGGGTAATCAGGACGTCCCATTTTCCGGAGAGCCTGTCTCCACATGCCTGTTCGTTCCCAAGAGTTCTTGAGTTGGGTGGGGATGGGATCTCAAGGGGAGAGGGACAGTGTATGTTCCTTGGGAGCATGATACCCAGTTGGGGAGGGGAGATTCTGGACACTCCTTAGTAAGAACCATCTCTACCATTGGTTGCTGTGCAACCAAGCTCCTGTTTTAAAGGCAAACAGGCTTTAAAAGACCAGAGTTCTAGTCACCTGACTTGCAGATCCCTTTCCCTCTCTGGGTGTCAGTGGCCCCATCTGTACGATGGGTGGAAGTCGAGTGGATAAGTCTTCCCACAGCACTGGCAGTCTGAAATTCTCTAAGTCATATCGGGAAAGACCACAGTCTGGCCATTTGGGGAAGAGGTTCCAGAGGCTCCCTGGAAACCTTTGTCTCAACAGCTAGGCCTGGCCCACCAGCCTAGGTCCTGAGGCCATGGTTTGCCTCTGCTAGGTCTAAGGTCTTGGAGATTCAGTGATTCAGTAAAAGTGGCCCTCTCCCCTTGCATGTGTGAAGTCACCCCCAGAGATGTTACAAGATGGAAGGCAGTCCCTCTGTCCTAGGGCCAACCTCTGTACACTGCACCCAGCCCCCACCCCTGCAAGCCGGTCCCATGCACACAACCCTTCTTCCCAGTCTGTTTATCTGAGCTTGGAGGATAACACCTCCCTCTTCCCCCCTTGCTCCCTTCTTTCCCTCCCTCCACATTTCTACAGAGGATCTGAGGTGATTGCGTTGGTCTTAGCATGTTTTGAGGGCCCTCCACAGCTGATGCCCCCACGCTTCCCATTGCTGGCCTCCCCTCCCCGACTCAGTCTCTGGAAAAGGCTCATTTTTTTGGGGGGTGTGTATGGTTACTTTTTTAAAAATTGTGGTAAAATATACATAACATAAAATTTACCAGCTTAGCCATTTTTAGGTGTGCAGTTCAATAGTGATAAGTATATTTACATTGCTGTGCAACCAAGCTCCAGAACTCTTTTCATCTTGTAAAACTGAAACTCTACGCCCATTAAACAACTCCCCATTTCCCCTCCCCCAGCCCTGGCAACCACCCTTCTATTTTCTGCCTCTATGAACGTGACTACTCTAGGCACCTCATATGGGTGGAATCACAAAGCATTTGTCCTTTTGTGACTGGCTTATTTCACTCAGCATAATGTCCTAGGGAAGGCTCACTTTTGCCCCAGGCCAGGCCTGCCCTGTCTCCCCTCCCTGCCTTTGCTGATGCTGCTTCCTCTGCCCAAACTGTCCAGCCCCACCTGATGTCCTCCAGACGGGCTACAAGTCTCCTCCTCTGGCGCCAGAGTAGTATCTCCCTCCTCTGCCACACTCTGTACCTCCCTCTCCGGTCTCAAATGATGACTTGCCCACACTCGACTGAACATCCCTTCAGGGATCATGTCTGTGTGCCCAGGACAGAGCTGGGCAAGGGGTTGGTGCCTGGAGGACTGTTAAAGCATTATAGAATGAATGAATGAATGAATGAATGAATGAATGGAAGGATAAATGAATTGATGGACAAACCCAACCCAGCTTCTGCTTGTGCAGAAAAGAATAAGAAATGGTTCTTTTGGCTATTTTATCTGGATTCCATCTGTGAGAAGCGATGACCATACCTGGACTCAGAGATGCATCTTGGTGCCTCGGTGGGCAGGCAGGTGCCCAGGAGGGAGGGCAGCAGCATGGGGGTAAGTGGCAGGGCAGGAGGCAGTAGTTCCTAATGCTCAGGCTTCTCCAGGTCTAGTCTCAGTTCCACGGAGAAAGTCTGAAAACCTCAGTGAATTTTAGCAGGTCAGGGCTGGATAGCACTCCCATTTTATAGATGGAGAAACTGAGCCCAGGATAGCAGAGCAGGACCAGATCCTTACTGCCTTCCCAGGATTCCCTCCACTCCCAGCTGCCTCCCTGATTCAGCCTCCTGCAGTTTTCAGAAGGTTTAAACTCCAGGCAGGGGCCTGGCTCCCACAGAAGGAGTCAAGAAGGGGCAGGGTGTGGGGTGAGGAGAGGAGACGACAGTGCTGACTGTAAGTGGACTTCTGCAGTCCCAGCATGAAAGGCCTTAATGGGGCCCTCAGTCTTCTTTCTTCCCCAGAAGAATGGCCACTCAGAGTCCGCTGGCTTTGTCTGGAAGAGCCTGGGGTTGTAATTAGCCCACCCCAGAGGGCCCCCTTCCTGTTTCCCACAATGGCTCCTTTCAGCCTCCCCTGCTGACACTCCCCATGGCTCCTGTGGGCCCTCAGACCCCCAACCTCAAGGACCCACCTCCAACTTGCCCCACCCCACCCCACTCCTGGCCTCTGCTCAGAGCTGAATCCTCCTACAGGGACATCTGTGAGTTCACTGGATGCTCCCAAGGGCCTGGGAGCTGGGACTATTATCCCCTCCTACAGATGGGGAAACAGAGGGGCAGAGAGATCTGGTGGGTGAGTGAAGGGGTGGACCTGGACCTCAGGCCTCCTGATTCCCAGGCCAGTGTGATCATGTGATCATCACCGCTCCACACTGGGACTTCCACATCCAGGCCCCCTCCAACAACCTCCTCCCCACAGTGGAACCATCCCAGGCGCACCCCCCACTCCCTCCAAGTCCACAGCGCCAGAGGCTTACGGGGTGATAGAATCACAGACTCAGACTGGCAAAGTGAAGTCCAGCAGCCAGCTTCTCTCCATTGCACAGACGGGAAAACTGAGGCCCAGAGCAGGAAAGGGCCTCATTTTTGGTCACTCAGCTGGTAAGTGGTAAAGGCAAAATGAGAAGCCTGGTCTGCTCCCTCCACTGATTGTGGTGGTTAGGGCCGGGGTCTGGCTACCTTGAAGTTCTCCCCTCTGAGTGGTAACTCTGATCGAGTCCCCCTGCCTCTGGCCCCATCAGGTTGCATACTCTTCCCCTCCTGGCCTCAGAGTCTTCGGTCATCCCTGAAACCCTCTAGCTCTGGCTTTCAGCCAAGCAGGAGCTGGGGCTGCACCCGTGATCCCCGGGCTTGCCCTGACAGTCCCCCTCTGCTGGCCTTGGCTCTTAAGGGATAAAGTTCCTAGGGTGGCAGGAGGGAGAGGGTGCCAGCCTCTCGGGCAGCATCAGCAGCATTGACCTTTGCCTTCCGTGTGCCCCAGTCGCCCAGCTGCTCCACTGTCTCCGAGGACTCAAAACCCTGCAGCCTCTGGGGGCTCCGAGACCAGCGCCAGTCCTCCTGCGGCACTGGAGACAGACAGAGCTGGTAAGGGGGAGAGAGGGGACAGGGCCTGGCAGGGGCAGCACCAAGTCAGCACACAACACAGCCCAGGAAAAGGTACTGCCTAAAACCTTTCGGAGGAGAGACACACTTTACAGTCAGGTTCAGAGAGAGGGAGACAGAGAGAGAACCAAAACAAAGAGGAGAGAGAAACAGAAAGGGAAAGACAGAGTATAGAGAGACACAGAGATTGACAGAGAAAGAATGAAGCAGAGACAGAGAAGGAGAGACAGAAAGACAGGAGACAGGCACATTGAGTCAGACAGAGAGAGGAGGGGATAGAGAGAGGCAGTAATAGGGATGGAAAGAGAAACTGATGGACTGGGACAGACAGGCAGACAAGACAGAGAGAGACAAAGAGAGAAGGAAGCCAAATAGGAGATACTGACAGACAGACCCACCAGTAGGCACCAGTGGGCAGAGGTTCTGCTGTGTTCTCATCAGACTGAATGCTGAGAGGTGTGTCCCAAGTCTGCCACTTACCCAACTCTGGGGGCCTTCGCCCAGCCCCAGGGACTGGGCCCTATAGGGGGTCCCCCAGCCACAGAATGGAGCAGTGTCCAAGCTCTGGGAAGGGAGGTTTCTGGGGAATGATCCGTGAGCTCTATGTGTGCATGTGGGTGAGGTGGTGGTGGGGATTGCTGGCAAAACTTCTCCTAGCTCTGTCACTGCCCCTGGCGCACCATGTGGCCTCTCTGGGCCTTGGTTTCCTCTGGATGTGATGGTGACATGGGTACAGCAGGGGTCTCTGAGGTCTCCTCAAGCACCAAGATCTGGCCTTAGTTCAGGCTCTGTCTTTGCAGCTAACTTAGTGCTCTGTGCTACTTAACTCATAACTTCCACCTCATAGTCCAAGAAAGCTTCTTGAGATCCAGCCATCACAACTGCATTTCAGCCAACTGGAAGGAAGAAGGGAGTAAAGAAAACACCTCTGTTTTAAGGAAAATTTCTCTTTGGAAGTTATGCTCAACTCTTCTTTTTCCATCTCCATGGCCAATTCTTAGTCTCAGGGCTGCATCTAGCTTTAAGGGAGGCTGGATACGTGCAATACTAGGCTGGGGACGGAATCCTTTCCACACAGCTCAGTGATACCTTCACAGCTCCTCACTCCCAGCAGGCTTCAACGCAGCCTTGCAATGTTTTCCTTTTGCTTGCTATAGATAGATGGGTAGATAGTTTTTAAACATACATTTCAAACAAGTGAGAATCCCCCTTCATTTTTCTAAACTCATCCCTCCCCTGAGTGAGACCACTGTGAGCAGTTTGCTGTGTGTCTGCCAGATTCATTTATGTATTTACA